ATAAGAAGCTGACAAAGGAAGAACTGAGTATAAGTTGAGTCTGAGACATGGCATGAAAAGCAAGGAATATGAACGGTTGGTGAAATATATTTTTGAAGGATAACTTCATTATTATTATTCTTTTTATCAAAGAAATATCTCTAGGCATCAAATGTGAAGCTAAAGGGAGCTTTAGATCAAAAGAAGGTGCTTAATAAACCTGTTCAAAAATAAGGAGCTGGAATCCTCTTATAAACATAAGTTGTTTTGGGGGTTCTAGTTTGTTAGGAATTATATAGAAATAATAACACTTCCCCTATACAAAACATGATAGATTGATCTATTATAGAATGATTGAAACGACCAACCTACATTCTGAGATCTAGTGTTGCTTAACTGGGCAGAGAAAAGTAGAAAAGACATGGTTTATTTTGAGAAAGAATAATTTGATTTTAAAAAATCATTCAAGTCTTGATATATAATGCAATTAATCTTATCAAACTTGCTTTATGTTTTAACATATACATTGGTAAACTAATACCTCATTGCTTTCACTTGAAAAGTTAACCATGTTGATAAGCAACTTTTTATTTCCTTTTCTTTTACTGTCAGTTTCCTAGAAATATTTTTACAGCCTTAAACAAAAGTTTCACCTGAATATGTATTTATATGGTTTTAACATGACAGAAGAAATAAAAACCAAATATAAAACTGTTCCATTTTTAAGGCACCAAAAGAGCTGATTATCTTGGTGTAAAGCTACCAGCTATAATTTGGGTTGTGGCAGGAGATGATTGGACCAAAAAAGTCAATTCTGAGGCCTGAGTGATCTGGATTCTTAATTTATTCTCAGAGGATAATTTTATAGGGGTGTCATTCTATAGGACTTTGACAGAGGGTCTGGTTGTTCTTTTGCTCCACTCTGCAATGGGACTAGATGAATAACTCATTATTTGAAAACTCTCTTTGAATATAAGTGAAATTATGGATTCTATGTACAGAAAATATAAACACATGCACAAACGTTTGCATACAACTTTAAAATGTTCATAGATTTCAAAGCTGCTGCTGTGTATCAGGTCTCAGGTTAAGAATCTATTTTGCAATGGCACATATGCCATGAACTTGCCATGAACACAGCTTTTCCCTGCCATTGAAGTCTATATAAATTCCATAATGTAATATTCTCACCTGCCGGTAGGTAGAATACTTGCTGGAAGATGGAACAGCAAAGGAGGGGAGCTTTGTCTTCAAGTAATAACCCCAGAAGGGTACACACCAGCACACAAAAGGAATGAACAAGCCCTAAATATTAGACAGTCTGTCATCATGGATAGCCTCAAAGAAGTCAAACCTAAATGTGTCTAATGTTCAAATTTTACCTCTTGATTTCATGGTAGATTTGGTAGACAAACGTATGCTTTACATAAATAATTACAGAACAATTTCTATTTTTCCTCTTTTAAATGGTTAAACAATATGTATTTATGACTTCCCAACTAATCATGATGGAAAACAAAAGGGACGCAAAAGAAAACAGGGCTGGTTTCTAACCTTTTTTGCAAAGAACAGTGGAGTAACAAAGAAGAATTAGGACAGTGGTTAAATCTTTTGCTTAGGTTTGTTTCTTTCTTTCTTTCTTTCTTTCTTTCTTTCTTTCTTTCCTTCTTCACAGTTAGGGAATGCATTCATCATACAAAGTCTTACTGTCAAATTGATCCCAATAGCTTACACTGAAGACGTTTTATGAAACTGATGGTAAAAATTATATGACTCAAGCACTGAGATTATCACAACATTGAAAAGTTTTTTTTTCCTCTTGAGGAAAAGTCACATTTTTTAGAGTGTCAACATTTTAAAATATTACTAAAAAATAAGTATAACATATGAGAGATAAGTTAGGCAAATTGGGGTGAGATAAATATTTTATAAGTGGAAGAATGTACTTCTGCTTTCTGCCAAGATGGAATAGCAGGGCCTAGTTTTGAAGAAACAGAGCGAGCATCAGAACAAGACATGACAGATATGTTGGAATTATCAGACCAGGAATTTTAAACAATGATGATTAATATGCTAAGGGCTCCAGTAGATAAAGTACACAGAATGCAAGAATAGATAGACAATGTGAGCAGAGATGTGGAAATTCAATTCGAAGAACCAAAAGGAAATGTTAAAGGTTTAAAAAATATATACTGTAAGGCACCTGGGTAGTGAGTCAGTTAAGCAGCCAACTCTTAGTTTCAGCCCAGATCATGATCTCAGAGTCATGAAGTCAAGCCCCACATAGGCCTCTGCACTCAGCACAAAGTCTGCTGGACTCTCTCTCCCTGTCTTCCTTCTTCCCTCCCACTCTCTCTCAAGTAAATATGTAAAATTAAAAAAAAAAATACCTGTAACACATAAAGAATGTCTTTGATGGACTTAATAGTACACTGTATGTAGTTGAGAAAACAGTCTCTGAGCTTGATGATATATTCATAGAAATCTCAAAACTGAAAAGCAAAGAGAATAAAGACTGAGGAAAAACACCATAGAATATCCAAGGACCAAAGGACAACTACAAAAGGTGTGACAATGTATAATGGGAATACCAAAAGGAGAAGAAAGAGAGAACCAAACAGAAGAAATATTTGTAACAATAATGATTGAGAATTTTTCCCAAATTAATGTCAGACACCAATCCACAAATCAAGGAATCTCAGAGAACATCAAGAAGGATAAAAAATCCAAAAATGTTTACCCCAAAGCATACCATCGTCAAACTACAGAAAATCAAAGATAAAGAAAAAATCCTACAAGAAGCCAGATATATAAAACACATTACCTATAGGAAAAGAGATAATAATTGTATCCAATTTCTCCTCAGAAACCAAGCAAGTAAGGAGAGTGTAGAGTGAAACACTTAAAGTACTAATAAAAAAAAAAAATGAACCTGGAATTCTGTATCCTGTGGAATTATCTTTCAAAAGTGAAGGAGAAATAAACACTTCCTCAGACTAATTGATATTGAAGGAATTATTTTGTCAGTAAACTTGAGTTGCAATAAATGTTTAAAAAGAAGTTTTTTAGAGAAAAAGAAAATAATATAGGTTAGAAACAAATCTATATAAAGAAAAGAAGAGCACTGAAGAAGGAATAAGTGAAGATAAAGTAAAACGTGTTTTTCTTATTCCTAACTGATCTAATAGGTAATGGTTTGTTCAGAATAACAATATGCATAACATATATGTATATGTATGCTCATCTACAAGCTGAATGTGTGACAGCAATAATACAAAAGACAAGAGGGAGGAATTAAGATTATTTTGTTATTATAAGAAACTCAAACTACCCATGAAGTGGTACAGTGTTTTGAAAGTGGATTGGATTAGTTGTAAATGTATACTGTAAACTCTAGGGCAACCACTGAGAAAAGTAAACTAAAAATATATATACACTTGATATGCTAAGAAAGGAGAGAAAATTGTGCCATACAAAACGTTCAGTTAAAACCATAAAAGGCTGAAAGCGTGGAAGAGAAAAATAAGAATAAATAACAAGGACAACAAATAGAACACAGTTTTGTTACTGGTAGATATTGATCTAACTGTATCAATAATCATTTAAAATGTTAACAGTCTAAATGCACCAATTAAAAGATAGAGATTGTCAGAGTGGATCAAGAAGCAAGAGAGAACTATAAGCAATCCACTAAACACACTGTAAATATAAAGACACATATATATTAAAAGTTAACAGGTGGAGAAGTATATACAATGTGAACACTAATTGAAAGAGAACAGGAATAGCTATATTAATTTCAAACAGAATAGACCTCAAAGCAAAGAAAGTTGCCAAAGATAAAGATGGGTCATTACATAATGACAAAGGGGTTAATTCCAAGAAGGCATAACAATCTTTAATTTGTATTCATCTAACAACAGAGTATCAAACTGCGTGAAGCAAAATTGATAGAACTGAGAAGAGAAATACATGAATCCACTATCATTGTTGGAGACGTCAATACCCCTCTATCAGAAATGAACATATCCAGCAGGCAGAAAATCAGAAAAACACAGGTGAACTAAACAACACCAATAATCAACTGGATAGAATTGATAGCTATAGACTATTTCATCCAACAACAACAGAATATGCATTCTTCTCAAGCTCACATGTAATATTCACCAAGATAGACCATATTCTGGGCCATAAAAAAGCACCTTAATTGAAGACAATAGAAACAAATAATGGAATAACAAATAACAAAAAACAAATAATGTGTTGTTTAATCTCCACATATTTTGGAAAGTCCCAAAATATGTGGAGATTAAACAACACATTTCTAAACAACAGAGGGATCAAAGAAGAAATATCAAGAGAAATTTTTTAAAAATATTTCTAATTAAATGAAAACAAAAGCACAATTTATCAAAATTTGTGAGATGCAGTGAAAATAGGGCTTCGGGGGAAATTCATAGCACTGAATGCATATATATATATATATATATATATTTATATTTTTTTTTTTTTTTTATTTTTTTTTTTTTTTTTACAGAGAGAGAGAGATCACAAGTAGGAAGAGAGGCAGGGGGAGGCAGGCTCCCCACCGAGCAGAGAGCCCAACGTGGGGCTCGATCCCAGGACCCTGAGATCACGACCCAAGCCGAAGGCAGTGGCTTAACACACTGAGCCACCCAGCGCTCCGCACTGAATGCATATATTTTTAAAAAGATAAGAGTGGGTGCCTAGGTGGCTCAGTTGGTTAAGTGGCTGCCTTAAGCTCAGGTCATAATCCTGGAGTCCTGCCTGGGATTGAGTCCCACTTGGGGCTCCTGGCTCTATGGAAGTCTGCTTCTCCCTCTGACCTTCTCCCCTCTCATGCTGTCTCTCACTCTCTCGCAAATAAACAAATAAAATATTAAAAAAAATTAAAAAAGATAAAAGAGTTAAAATCAATAATCTAAACTTACACTGGGAAAACTAGAAAAAGATAAGGAAATCAAAGTAAACAGAAGAAAGGAAGTAATAATTAGAGCAGAGTGCTCACTTCAACAGCACATATACTTAAAAAATGGGAATGACACAGAGAAGATTAACAAGGTCCTTGTGCAAGGTTGACATGCAAATCTGTGAGGTGTTCCACATTTTTTCACCATATTATACCCCTGAAACTAATTATAACACTGTGTGTTAAATATATTGGAATTAAAATAAAAAACATAATAAAAATTGTCATAAATTACCAAAAAAAAAAAAAAGAAAGAAAGAAAGAAAAAGAATTAGAGCAGAAATTAAAACAGGAGAAACCAAGAGATCAATGGAGAAAAAAACAACAAAACCAAAAATTAGATCTTTGAAAAGATTAATGAACTAAATAAGCTTTTAGCCAGACTAACAAAGAAAACCAGAAGCAGGTAACTAATTATTAATTATTTTCAGAAATGAAAGAAGGGACATCATTACAGATTCTATAGACATTAAAAGGATAATAGAGGGGGAGCTTGGGTGACTCAGTTGGTTAGGTGTCCAGCTCTTGGTTTCAGCTCAGGTCATGATCTGAGGGTCAAGATCAAGCCCTGCATCAGGCTCTGTGCCGAGCAGGGAGTCTACTTGGGATTCTTTCTCCCTCTTTCTCTGCCCCTTCCCCTGCAGGTTCCCTCCATCTCTCTCTCTCTCTCTCTCAAATAAATAAAAAAAAATTTAAAAAAAAGATAAGACAGGAATACTATGAACAACTCTATGCCCACAAATTTGATAAATAAGATGAAATGGATCAACTCTTTGAAAGTCATAATTTTCCTAAACATATACAAGAAGAAATACAAAATCTGACTAGGTCTGTATCTATCTTGTAAAGAAATTGAATCCAAAATTAAAACCTTCTAAAACAGAAAACACCAACCCCATATGGGTTCACTGGTGAACTCTACCAAATATTTAAGGAAGAAATTATAACAATTCTTTACCATCTCTTTCAGAGAACAGAAGCAGAGAGAATACCTCCTAACTCATATCCATATACCAAAACCAGACAAAGACATTAAAGAAAATAAAATTATAAACCCATATCTCTTATGAACATAGATGCAAAGATCTTCAACAAAATATTATTTCCTATACCACCAATGAATAAGTGGAATTTGAGATTAAAAATACAATACCATTTCCATGGTACATGAAATATGTAGGTATAAATCTAACAAAGTATGTACAAAATCTGTATGAAGATGAACTGATGAACAAAATCAAAAAAGAACTAAAGAAATGGAGAGATAGTCCATGTTCATGGATAGAAGGATTCAATATTGTCAAGATGTCTTTTCTTCCCAACTTGATGTATAGATGTGATTCAATTCCAATTAAAATTCCAGCAATTATTTTGTACATACTGATTCTAAAGATTATATACAGAGGTAAAATATCCGGACTAGCCAACACAATATTGAGGAGCAAGAACAAAGTTGGAGAATTGAAACTACTGACCTTCAATATTTATTAAGCCACAATAATCAAGGCAGTGTGGTATTGTGAAAGAATAGACAATGGACCAAAATAGAAAGCCCAGATGAATCTAGACACAGACCTTACACCCTTCACAAAAATAAACTTGAAATGAATCACAGACCTAAATGCAAAATGCAAAACTATAAAACTCCTAGAAGAGGGGCGCCTGGGTGGCTCAGTGGGTTGAAGCCTCTGTCTTCGGCTCAGGTCATGATCCCGGGGTCCTGGGATCGAGCCCTGCATCAGGCTCTCTGCTCAGCGGGGAGCCTGCTTCCTCCTCTCTCTCTGCCTGCTTCTCTGCCTATTTGTGATTTCTCTGCCAAATAAATAGATAAATCTTAAAAAAAAAAAAAAAACTCCTAGAAGATAACATAGAAGAAATCTAGATGACCCAGTATGACAATGACTTTTTATATTCAACACCAAAGTCACAATCCATAAAATAATTGATAAACTGTACTTCATTACAATTAAAAACTTCTCTGTGAAAAACAATGTCAAGAGAATGAAAAGATAAGACATGGGCTGGGAGAAAATATTTAATATACATCTGATAAAAGATTGTTACCCAAAATACACAAAGAACTCTTAAAACTTAATAAGAAAAACAATCTAATTTTAAAAATGGGCCAAAGACCTTAGTACACATCGCACCAAAGAGGATACACAGATGGCAAATAGCCATATGCAAAGATGCTCAACATCCTAAGTCATTGAGGAAATGTGAATGAAAACAGCAGTGAGATACACTACACATCTATTAGTACTTATGGCCAAAATTCAGAACCCTGACATACCAAATTCTGGCAAGGATGTGGGAAAATGAAAAGTCTCATTCATTGCTGATGGAAATGCAAAATGATAGAGTTTGAAGATTTCTTACAAACTAAACATACTCTTACTGTATGACCCAAAGGTGTTGAAAACTTATATCCACATAAAAATCTGGACACAGTGGCTTTATTCATAATTGTCAAAACAACCAATTTATCCATTCTCCAATGGATAAATAAACTGGTACATCCAGATAATGAAATATTATTCAGTACTAAAAAGAAATGAACTATTGGGGCACTTGCATAACACAGTCGGTTAAGCATCAGACTCTTGGTTTTGACTCAGGTCATGATCTCAGGTTCAGGAGATCAAGCCCCACATCAATCTCCTGGCTCAGCGTGGAGTCTGCTTCAGACTCTCTCTCCCTGTCCCTCTACCCCTCCCCACTGCAATCGCTCTCTATAAAGTAAAGAAATAAATCTTTAAAAAGTCTAAAAAAAATGAACTATCAAACTATGAAAAGACATAGAGGAAACTTAAATGAGCATTACTAGTGAAAGAAGCATATATGTAAAGGTTTTGTACTATATGATTTCAACTATGTGACATTCTAGAAAGGCAAAATCATGAGACAATAAAAAGATCAGTGGTTGATAAGAGTTGGGGGTGGCTGAGTTAGGGATGCATGGGCAGAACAAAGAGGATTTTTAAGATGGTGAAAATACCTTATGCACCGTAATGATGGACGTATGTTATTATACATTTGTCTGAACCTCTAGGATATATGACACCAAGATTGGACCCTGATATGTAACTATGGACTTTGGTTGATTATGATCCTAGTTTATCAATTGTAAGAAATGTCCTATTCCGGGGGGGATGTTGGTCATGAGGGAGGCTATGCATAATGAGGGAAGAGGCTATATATGAAATCTCTGTATCTTCCTCTTAATTTTGCTGTTAACCTAAAATTGTTCATAAAAAGTCTTTTAAAAAAACAAAAACTGTATCCAATTATGTAAATTCCTAAGTGTATCCCAATTTCTGGTGTGATAAATATAATGAAAAAAGTATAGATGATTGTTGAAGCAATTATTAGCTTTAGTTGACCATTTTTGGTGTAACATTTAACCAGCTATTATTTAAAGTGACTCATTTAAGCAGCTATTAAGTGGTGGCAATATAATCCTTTTGCTTACAGGTGACAGAAATCAAATATGATATATATTAAGCAAACAGGATAATTTATAATGTGGATATAGGATTTTCTCACCCACCCCAAGGATGGGAACTTGGTATCAAGCAGAAGAAGAGATCTGGACAACATCTGACCTAGCATCTTTCACATGGAGGAAAATTTAGTAAGTAGCAAGCATTATCAAGCAACTGCTTAGTTCATAAAATGGAGATGCTTTGATTGTTCAGATGCACCATTCTGTTCTTGGATCACATCAAGGAGTTTTTTCTTGTCAATAATTATAACAATAGTTATATAAAAACTGACACTCTATCATGTAATATCACATTTAATTCTTATAACAACACTGAAAGGTAGGTGCTATGATTTCCATGTTACAAATGTGAAGGATACAGCTTTAAAAAGTTAAATGATATATATGTGGGTAAGAAGATGGAGAGTAATAGCGTTAAGGTTTAAATTCTTCTGCATGCAAAATCAATGTTAATTTTATTCCATATTGTCATGAAACAATAATGTAGGTAAATTTCATTTTGGAAATTCTGAAAAAAAATAGTGATTCTCTGTATCTGTTGTCAATTATATTCATTTTACACCTTGCTCAAGCTTGAGGGACTTGAGATTGATAAATTAAAGAAATATACACTCAAGATGCCTGCCTGGTTCAATCAAGAGAGCATGGAACTCTTGATCTTGGGATCATGAGTTCAAGCCTCATGTTGGAGGTAGAAATTACTTAAAAATAAAGAAATAAACAAACTTTAAAGAAAGAAATATGTAGTTGTGAACACTGTGGATATAGGCAACTTGGAGTTAGCCAGTCTTGATATACATACTCTCTTCTCACTAAGATTTTTAAATTTCTTTAAATATATTCTGAAAGGAGAATTTAGAATAAACTTTGCAAATGCCTGACAGACTGGGATTTGGTTTTGTGAAAAGAGGGAGATATTAGAAAATGCCATTTTTAGTCAAGCTAGTGTAGCACAGTCAGCATTCTGCTCTTGAGAGTAATGTCAAGAGACATAGGCATACCAGGCCCTGTATGTAATGTTACCTGCAAGAAGTTAAGAGGTCTTCTAAAAATCTTTTAACTTCTTAATGCATTTGACTTTCATGTATTAAGAACTTTTGTTTTAAATCTTTTGAACCAATAACATTAATTCCTTTTTCTTCTCTTGGAAGTAGAAAATACAAGTTGGGGGTGCTGCTCATAGGATACAACATTACTTACATAGTATTCTTGCCAAAAACTTTAACCTAATCATAAGGAACCAATCAGGGAAATTCAAATTGAGAAACATTCTGCAAAATAATTTGCCTGAACTCTAAAAAATGATCAATGACAAGAAAAATGAAAAAGGCTGGCTGACTGTTCCCTGTTAAGGGAGAGTAGAGAGCTGAAAATCAGTAAATTTTAATATGTATTTGTGTGCCCCACTGTATTGTAAAACCTGAAACTTGCCTGGCTCAGGCTTTGACTCTGGGGACATCAGCAATCAGTTTCTGTTCTTCAGAAACTTACTGATTTTTTTCCTTGAAACTGTTCAAATCTTCTTTACTAAATATTGCTCACCTATAGGTCAAATAAAATATTGTGCATGCTTTATGTGTTCTGTACATACCTACTCACGTATCTTAAGTGTGGTTTTGGTAGAAGAGGAATAACA